GGGTGGACGGCCAAACAGCAATCCCTCCTCCTCCATTCTCCTCTCAGGATTTTGGGTGCGCACGCGCACACATATCCGGCGTGAGTTTCAAGCTGCCGGTTCAGAACTCAAACTGCAGTCAGCCATGTGGGAGTCCGGTGCCTTAACCACTACGCCACCTGCTGGTCCCACAAATGGGCTTTATTACTACTAATTTCTCTTTTTTTAAAGAATTATTTTATATATTTATTTATTTATCACATGAGTTTTGTCAGAGAAAGAGTGAGAAAGCAAGCCACCAGGTCTGGGACTCGAACCGCGGTGGACCATGTGGGAATTCCAGCACCCTTAACCACCACTCCACTTGATGGCCCAATTATTGCTAACTTCTTTCTTTTGAGAGGTTTTTGCTATAGGATGTGTACACTCGCCAGAAAGAGAGAGACAGAAAAGGAGAAATCACCCCCCAGGGGAGATGGCCACGCTGCAATCCATTCTCCATTCTCCTCTTGGGATCTTGGGCACACACACACATGCACCCAGCGTGAGTTTAAGCCACCGGGTCCAGGACTCGAACCGCAGTCGACTACGTGGGAGTCCAGCGACATAGCCATTACACTAACTGCTGGTCCCAATTATTACTAATTTCAACCAATATATTGGGTTGTCAGAAAAGCTGTGTTGCATATTTCTGTTTTCCTATGCAAAAGTGCATCATGATTTTTCTGATGACCCAATATTATGATCAAGACTGCTAGAAAAATTTCTAAACAGATATCCTCAATTGGTTTCAGTTTTACAGTTTTTGTTTATTGTGGGGAGACACCCGGAACAGCGCATTGCCCATTTCACCACGTTAGCAAGCGTACACTCCAGCGGCATCAGCATTCACACTGCTGCACCCGTCACCTCTATCTCACCCCCAGAGAGGATCATCGCCCCCAAAGCAAACCCTGTGCCCGTGAAATGGTCACCTTGACCCTCTCAGGCACCCCTGTTCTTTTTTTCTTTCCCAGAGATTTTTTGCTCGTGGGCGCTTGCCAGAGAGACAGAAAGCAAGAAATCACCACTCAGCGGGGATGGCCACGCCGCGATCCCTTCTCTTCTGTTCTCCTCTCGGGATCTTGGGCACACACGCACACGCGCTGGTGTGAGTTTTAAGCCACCAGGTCCCGGATTCAAACTGCAGTCGACTACATGAGAATCCAGCAACATAGCCATTACGCTATCTGCTGACCTGGAGGGCCCCGTTCTTTTTTTAATGTGATTTGAAACAGTGACTGGAAAAACAAAGTAAAAAAAAAAGGCAGCAAAGACTTGCTTTGTTTTCAAATCAGACCTGCCCAGATAAGGCAGCAGCCTCAGCGGTGCAGTAACAGGAGCAGAACGCGGCCCATCGGCAGCCTGTGCGAGTCCGCAACGCAACCTGGACACGCATGGCATCCGCCCCAGCAGTGAGCCTGTTCAGGGAGGGACATCTAGGCCTGCTCCCCCTGCAGCCTCTGCTTTCTCCTGGCTGAGCAACCCCGGGCCAGGGACAGGCCTCTCTGGGCCCCATCCCAGCCTCTGCATCGATGGAGTGGGAGGCGCCACGAGGAGCCGCTCAGGGTTAGCCGCTGCCCTTGGGGCTCAGGCCCACCCACCCCAGCCTTCCCAGGTGCACACTTGCTGTTTTTTCCGGAACACGTGAGAAAGGGGAACTGGGCGGGCCGTGGGGGCTGCCGCTCGCCCTCCCCTTCGGTGCCAGCTCACTTCCGTCTTCGCCAGTCAGCTCACCCGGGCACGGATTCTGGGCCTCTCAGGGCAGGGACGGCCGGGGGGAGGCGGCCAGCACCTGCTGAGTATTCGTGGAGTGGACGAATGAACGGAGGGGTGACATCTCTGAGGGTCTCCAGGGTCCACGAGGTGTGGTCAGGCTCTGCAGGGCGGCAGCTGTTTACTCGGGCCCTGGAGTCGGGCAGGACGTGGCAGCCCCTGGGAGCCATCTCTCTTCTCCACGTCTCTCCCACCACCCTTGCCCGGGGCTGGTGTCCGGCCCGCCAAGCCGTGTGGGTTTCTCAGGCCCTTTTCATAGCAGGCACATTTCCAGCAATGTCAGCCACGGTGCAGCAGCCTCCCCTCCCCGCCACCTCTCCCCCGGTGCCAGGGCTCCCGAGTCTGAGGGGGGACCAGAGCGAGGGGGGCCAGAAGCAGAGGAGGCAGGAGCTGCTCCCTGGCTCTCAGGAGGCAGAGTGGGGGTGGGTGGCTCTGGAAGTGACTTGGGAGAGGGCAGCCTGTCCCTGGGGATGCGGGTGGGCAGTCGGGGCCCCCGAATAGAGGAGCATGAGAGCTGGAACCCGAGCACAGAAGCCCCTGGGAACTCCTCCACCTTCTAAATATTTGGACAGTGAGATGGATGGGAGTGGAGGGCAGAGCGGCTGGCCGGGCCACGGGTTATTTTGAGAGAACGACTTCTTTGGTGCTGCAGGAGAAACGTCCCCTCTGTCCCTCACTCTCCTCCCTGGGCCTGCAGCGGCCTCCCTGGAGGAGGAGAACTAGCAGCTGATCGCCCCCAAACTTCAGGGGCCAAGGTCCTGGTCCTGGCGGCTGGCAGCCATGTTCCATGTTCACAGGCCTCGGGGTGTCAGCAAAGAGAGCAGGAGCCGGCGGCCTCAGCTTTGGACCCCGTTCCTGCCATGCTGCCGCCCGCCTGCCCCTCCGCCCACG